GGACGCATTCGCAATACGTGCCCAAACCATAGCATTTGTTACTTTTTAATCTGAATGAGCAGATTGTCTGACGATATCCGAGGCTTTGGATTTTCAAATGATTTAGGTAATGTTGGTTACTGCACAAAGATAATATTTCTCGTCGTAAACAAATCCGCCTCTAGAAGCTGCTTTAGGGTTCGATGTTGGCCTTCTACGCGTCTGCGGCCATTTTTTGCTTCCCAAAGGAGAATGGTTTTGGATAGATGTCCATTGTCTCGCCGGATGGTTCGGTCAAATAAACACAGATGTTTCTTGATTTCTTTAGACAGCATTCTTATGCCAGTCATCTTTAAGGTCCTTCCCTTCTTCGTTCGATGGAACCATCGCACTTACAAAATGTTAGACATCGTTGCTAGAAGCAGTTCAACATCTCTTCGTATATCACCTCATTTCATAGCACTCCATGATACGATATAACAGTTCAGCGGCAATCACTCCGTATGATACGTAGCGTTTTTTATGAGTCAAAGTCAGTCAGCTGTTGATTTGATTCAGTAGTTAGCCAACATCCGAACTCCATCCACGAAAACACTCAGTTTATCCATGAACTGGACGAGGGGGCAAATTTTCATTCTTAAGAGTACAAGAGAGAAGGTACACTAAACACCAGTTTACAAAAGAAGCCCTCCTCTTATGGACGTCTAATAAGTTTTTTCCGCCAAGCTCTGGCATCAGTAAAAGCAGGAATGGCTCAACCATCATATCTCCGTAATATAAGATCGTTTAGGAACTCCTCCTCTCGCAATCACGAGAAGAACAATTTTGTAATCGAACTGGAGGAAACCGAATCTCGAAGACCTTCATCCACGAACAATTCAACGAAGTGGACTGGGAGTTAAGCAGGACACTCAACCAAGAGGGAACGACCACTATCAAAGACGAATTCTGAATTCGCCTTCTTGTAGTCATCCATTACCATAAGAACATAAGTAAAAGTAGCAAACACATCATAGCCAGATATGGGGTAATCACGTCTTGCAGATCCCCAGACAAGCTGAGCAGTCTTCTACACAAGGACAGTAATGACTTATACCGAAATATAAGAATGTCGAGATATTATATCGGATCAAGTACCCATGTGGAGATTGTTTTATTGGATAAATCGGTAGAAAGGTGAAGAACAGGATGATGGAACTCATGACACGTCTCAGTAGAGACGAAGAGAAGGGATATGCTGTTGCGGAACACAGCATACTGAAGAACCATGCGATATAATGAGATGTTAGCAGCATCGTATAGAAGGAAGCGAAATGACGAAAAAAATGTTCAAAGCAGTCACAGTGGAACAGAACAAAAATGCAAGATTAACGTGCAGGAAGAAACATACAAGATCAATTTAGCACGGCTTCCGCTGCTACATAAGTAAATATCAGTAAATGTATACTTTTTGAACTCGTATGAGTCTCTCGCTACAAACTCATTACAATACCACCTCAACCTTGCCTTTATAAATAAAATACTAAAAATGCCTTAAGTACAGCCACGACACCTGAATCGAAACAGAGCTCGTAATCCAAAAAATGGGAGGGTGACTGCACTTGGTCTGACCCTAGCCAGAAGTTGCTCACCACCTGAGATGCAAGATCGTTGCATATCTTTCTACGGAGTTAATAGTGGCTACGCTCTCCATGAATACGAAGTAAACTGTTTAAACAATGAAATAAAAATCTGTTTAAATCCACTATTGTTTAAAAGCTATAATGAAAAACAAGTCTCCAGATTCTCTTCAAACTTAAGCACATCTGTAACCACGAAAACCCTTTATCACTTGAGTTAGATCGGAGTTAGTCCATCAGTTTCTTCAGCGGCCGATCGGGCAGTTAGTCAACGACTCAGTCAAGCAATCAGTTGATCTGTAAATTCTGTGGCGACAAAAGTAGGGTG